AATCAAATTCTACCTAATTTTTAAATAAGGTAAAATCATTTCAGTGCTGTGTCTTCTCACCCTTTTTCATTTGAAAAAAGAAAAATGTTGTAATTGTTTAATATTGTTAGAAGTAGTAATTTATTAGCGTAATGATATTACTATGTTGTTTAGTCACTAAGTTGTGTCTGACTCTTTTGCAACCCCATGGACTGTAGCCTACCAGGCTTCTCTGTCCGTGGGATTTCCCAAGCAAGAATACCTGAGTGGGTTGCCATTTCCTCCATCATACCCTCCTATTGTTTATTTCCCACCTTTAGTTGATTGTTAGATGAAATTAGAGAAAACATGTTGGGCATTTTAGGTACAGTTGCATTAGCAATCATTGTCATATATCTCCACATTTTTAATGTTTTCCCCCTTTTAGTTTGTATTTCTTCCTACCCTAAATAAGGATTTCTACTTGGTTTCTCAAAATGTCACTTTTAAATAAAATTTAGCAAGACGTGAGGCCTAATTCTCCAGTGCCTTAACTTGCTCCATTTTTTGTCACATTTTAATATTACCACACATGTACTTGTTTTTTAACTATTTATTGACTGTCTCTTCCTTCACTAGAGTTTAAGCTTTACACAGCCAGGGATCTTGTCAGTTTGTCCATTGATAATATATTGTCATTTTTAGTATCTAAGAGGGATATATTCTCTTCTGGTTTTGATTGATAATGTCAGAGTATCATTTAAATATTTTGTACCTTGATTTCAACATGTATTAGTGTTGGATAATACTTAACACGAATCCATTAGTTTCGAAGCTGAGCTGTTTTATATATGAATGAACTTTTTGGGATGCTATTTAAAATAGACCTTTGTTGCTCAGAGCATTTCGTTGAGTGTGGTATTCCTCAACTTGAACAGTGTTGTTCACTATCAAACAACTATAGTGATTTTTTTTTTTTATACAGTAATACCCATCATCCTTAGCTGTCTGAAAAAGCAAAAACTTGAACTAATAAAGCACAAGCATTGATGAAAATGATTAGGAGCCGAAGAGGCAAAGATGGCCTCATTGGGATGAAACTTGCTGTCTTAGGACCATGCTTCACAGTGTGGTCTGTGGACCTGTTCATTACTGGGCTGTGCTTTTCATTTTTATGAGGACTTGGTAAACTTGTTCCTAATTTCTCCAGTTAGTCTCAGCAAGGGAATATAGTCTGGTTTAAGAGCAAATGAAGCAACAAATGTTAGTCAGTGTTAATGCTGTCACTGAAGATTAGTTGGCATTTGTTATACCAAAAAAAAATGTGATGTAGTTACCAAAGAAAGTAAACCCTTTTGCTTGCTAAGGGAGGTTGCGGCTCCAAAGTGGGAAACAGCAAGTAAAAGAGAAAGAGAATGTCTGTGGTTAGAGGTTAAGTATTATGAAAAGTTACTGACAATCAAAGAGCAGGTGACAGTTTAAAATGTGAGAACTGGGGCTGTCAATCTACACTAACTATATGCTGAAGGGTCAGGTGGGCTTGTAGACCTCACTGTTGTCTGAGGCTGTCACAGTAATCATTATTAACAGGTTAAATTATTTTCAGTACACATAGTGTCAGGGATCTGTATAGGAGTTTAGAGTTTTACTACATTCATTTAAAATTTTTTGATATTTAAAAGTGTTCATTTTTATTCTTTATATCTCATTCCCTGGTTATACCAGGGAAGCACATGGCATATTCAAACTTGGTTTAACATTATGGGTCTATACTGGAATGGGCATTGATAATATCAGTTGGGGAAAATGGAACAGGGCTGATGAGAATATAGTGATTACAGTTGGTTTTTTTTTGCCATGCCACACTGCGTGCAGGATCTTAGTTCCCTGATGAGAGAGACAACCTGTGCCCCCTGAGTAGAAGCATGGGGTGCTAACCACTGGACTGCCAGGAAGTTCTCACAGCAATTGCAGTGTTGTTGTTTTGTTTTTTTTTTTTTTCATTTAAAAAAAAATATTTATTTTTGGTTGTACTGGATCTTCATTCCTGTGCACAGACTTTCTCTAGTTGTGGCAAGTGGGGGCTCTTCTTTGTTGCTGTGTGTGAGCTTCTCGTGGCTGTGGTTTCTCTAGTTGCAGAGCACAGGCTCAGTAGTTGTGGCCTGAGGGCTTAGTTGCTCTGTAGCATGTAGAATCTTCCCGAACCAGGGGTCATACCTATGTCCCCTACATTGTCAGGTGGATTCCTACCTACCGTACCAACAGCGAAGTCCTGATTACAGTTTTTAAAGTGATCTTTCAGTTGCTTTTACTCTATTGTATAAAAACTGTGGCTTGAGCTTTTCAAGGTCTTTAAGTCTCATAAGGCCAAAGGTCATAATGTTTGTATCTGTTTAATTATTTTGGGCTTTTCTGTCCCACACTTGACCTTTGGTGTGAAACAGCTGCTGTAGTGATTCTTGGAGTGTTGGTAGTGGAGAAGAGGGAGTGTTAATTAAGCTCCTGGCCGCCTTTTCATGTTACACAAATACTTTCCCGGACCCCTGTAGTAAGCCCCAGTTCCAGGGGAGAGTAAATCTCAAGAATAATATCTCACAGTACTGAAGTGGGAAAAAGTTTTAGGAACTGAACCTCTGTCACCCTATCTTAAGTGCAGGGTGACACATCCTAGCTGTTGCAGTAGTCTGGAGTTTCTCAACCGTAGTATTATGACATACGGGAATGTCATTCCGTTGTGTGGTGCTTCCCAGTGTCTTGTTGTTGACAGTAGTTAACTCCAAAATTTGTCAGTGGTTTTCTTACCCCCCAAAGTAGTAAATTACGGTGGATTCATATCACTTTGATTCATTTGTATTCATAAGGAAGCAGAGAAAGGAAGGTGCTGTCTAGAGTTGTAGAGCCACTGGACAGCTATGCCAGTTCTGAAAGCATTAAATCATTTTTTTCCCCACAGTATTTAGGTATATCAGGATTTAGGTATATACAGTGGGTGTATAAACCATTTGGATCTCTTAGAAAAGCTCAAATTCCTCTGAGTTTTCTAGGCTTGAGCCAACACACATGAGGGCTAGATAGAATTTTCAGGTTATTCTAGATTTGGGATGCTCTCAAACATTTAAATTGTGGGCCTGCCTGGTCTTTCTGCCTTGGAGCACAAGTGTGCTTCTATTTCATGCAGTCTGGGAATAAAGTGCAAATTTACAGATCGACTGAGATCATGCATCGTGGGGTAGATGTTAAATACTGAGAGAAGAATCATTTTAGGCATATTAAATTTACTCAAAATTATTTTTTACTCTTCAGGTAGTTCTGATACTTAAACAGTTAGGGAAGTCAGACCTTTATTAACAATTTTGAATGCACATATTCCTCCCTACTTGAACATGTCTGAAATCAAGATATGTCAGTGGAGTGGTGTTGTTTACTTGGTAGCCATTTTCCTTTCTTAGTGTTACATAAAATAGTACAATTGATGATGTGTCTCAGATTCAGAGAACCGTGATAGTTTGTAATGTGTGTAGCTACTTTTCTCATGCCTTTCTGATGCACGGGCAGACAGGGTGATTTGTGGCTGTGAACCTTTGGAGCTGTCAGCTTTTCAGCCCCCTCAGCCCTCAGTGGTTTGTGGGTAGTTCTGCTTCTTTACTTACCTTCTGCAGATATTTTCCAGTTGTCTCCCCTTACCTCAGTTCAGGGCTGTTATTTTCAACGCTGTCTAGGGAAGCAGCCAGTGTTGCCCTGGTGGTCTAATGAGCTGGTGGTATCTTTGGCTTTGCTAGAGTTCAGTCCTAACGCAGGTATTTCACATCTACTTTTAACACTTAGTCTTCAAAATTAGGAGGTGAATGCTTCCTCATGTGGTAATAGCTTTCTGTTGATAGATGCTGCTTGGTATGATTTCTAAACAGTTGCACTAGTTCTTCACATCCTGGAGTATGAATTTTCATTTATTTTTACATTGAACTCTTTAAGTCCTCCTTTTTTAACTTCTGTGTTCATAGTCAGCGTTCTTAGAACCGGTTTTTTACAAGAGCCAGAGGATCGTTGAGGAAACTGTTCGCTTACTCAAAAACACTTCCTGCCCCCTCTAATGAATTATTGTTCTGGGAAGGATACACTTAAGAGTGAATTCCCTGTTTTTGTGAGCCTACCACATACACTGTTTGACCTTCTACCTTATCTTTTTTTTTAGTACCCTGCTGAATCACTAGTTTTTATTAGTGTGCTTAGTAAGTACTCATTGACACCTCTCCCCCATGTTGGTCCTGTTTGTCTTTCTACTGCAGAAATACGGATGTGCAAGGTAGTTTATTGCCTGGTAGCAGAGACAGTAAGGGACTGGCATGGGTTGTCTTTTAATGTAGTGACTCCACCTCCTCCATTAAAAAACATGCTCCAGTGAATGTCTTGAAATGTTTGAAAAAACATTCGATGTTTGAAAGAACAAACACTTACAATCCCTTGTAATTCCAGAGAGTTGGATGGTTCTCATTTGAGTTTGCAGGCAAAATACTGGCCCTGGCAGCAGTTGTCTGAAATCTTGGCTGGAATTGGAGATTCCAGATTGGAGGTTCTTCAAAATGACATGTGGTTATTGGCAGGAGGCCCTAACCTTACCCTGCTGACCTCTGAATTGGGTTGTTCACAGTATGGCAAGTGATTCCAGAGAGAACAACCAAGACATAAATCACAATCTTTTATAACCTAATCTTGGAAGTGACATACCTTCCTTTCTGCTGGATTGTATTGGTTACATTGACCAACTCTGGTACTGTGTGAGAGGATGTGACTACCAGGAAGCAGTTACTTGGAGATTCCTTAGAGTTTGGCTACCATGGGCCCCTTTCTTTGTGGACATATAAGTAGTAGTATGGGATGGGTAAAGCTTTTCCTTTTCTTCAGTACTGATCACGTTGTCTTTTAGGGATAATTACACCAATGCAATTCTTCTTAGCTTGCCTTTGCATCCTGTTTCTTTTGGTAGCTGTTTATGCAAATTGACCTTCTTTTGTATCCTGATTCAGTGACAAGGGCTGTCTTCCCTGTCTTATGTGAAGTTCTCAAGGTCTGGAGGATTTCCACAGCATTGTTTCCCAAACTGTGGTCATTGAAACAAGACTTTCCCAAGATGCCCTACACTGCGAGGATTCCATTACTTTGGAAACCTGTATGCTATCTTCCTCTCCTTAGAGAGTCGTCATGCAAGTTAGTATATCTGAGAATTCCTGCTTTTAAAAAAAAAAAAAAAACTTTTTTTTTTCAGTCTAGTGTTTTTGAAAATTGACTTAATCACAGAACCTATAGGATTTGTTGACTTTAATTGAAAGTGAAAAGTGTTAATTGCACAGTCCTGTCTGATTCTTTGCAACCACGTGAACTATATATAACCTGCCAGGCCCCTCTGTCCCTGGGATTTCCCAGGCACGAGTACTGGAGTGGGTTACCATTTCCATCTCCAGAGGATCTTCCTGACCCAGGGATCGAACCCAGGTCTCCTGCACTGCAGGCAGATTCTTTACAGTCTTGAGCCACCAGGGAAGCCCCTGTTAACTTAAGTAAATTAAAAACCCTCTTCTACATAGACACTTCTCACAAATATATTCCTTCTTTATTCAAAACATTGTTTAGGCAGCTTTATTTGTTTTCGATAATTAAAAATTTTCTAAACTAATTTTCAGTTTGTAATTTTGCATTTTGGAAGGCAACTGAGGTCAGAAATTGCAGTTAATATCTTATTTTCCTTGTTGCTAGCAATTCTGGCATTGTATCATTTGAGGAAAAGTTTTCACTTTTGCCAATTAAAAGAGCCATTGATTCTCAACAAAAAAGGGAGGAGTTCTCTAATCTGTAGAGGTGTTAGATGTTGGTAGGTTTATTAAAAGATGTTATGAATTGAAAAGATCTAGAAAACCACAAACATTGCTGTATTGATAGTGATATTCCACTGTTGTGAAAAATCAGAAACTAGCTTTTAAGTAGAGTTGTGTGAAGTTCTGAATAGGAATCCATGCTTGTGTGCTTTTTTTTTTCTGAACACTTACTGTGTACAATTTTGTTTATTTTTAAGCAAGCTTTTAATTAATTAGTGGCTGTGCTGGTCTTCATGGCTGCGCTCAGGCTTTCTCTCGTGGTGCGCAGGCTTCTCATTTTGGTGGATTGTCTTGTGGAGCGTGGGCTCTAGGGTGCACAGGCTCAGTAGTGGTGGCACATGGGCTTAGTTGCCCCACAGCATGTGGGATCTCCCTGGGGCAAGGATCAAACCCATGTTCCCTGCGTTGGCAGGCTGATTCTTAACCACTGGGCCACCAGGGAAGTCCTGCTTGTGTACTTTAATCCAAAAAAAAGTTCATTAGAAATCTTTATAATGTTGCATGCACTTCTAAAAACATTGGTTATTTGCTTTTAAACCGATAAATTATGGACTGTTGTGGTTTTTGTTTTGCTTTGTTGTGTCCTGAAAAAGAATGTCAAGTGATGATAATAAGGGAAGAATTGAACAGTAAAAGCTATACAAAAAAGAATGCAAGTACATAGCCATTTCAGCGCATCTAGTGTATGAAGAAATAACTTTATGTAATCTCAGGCTCTGATATATTATATCCTGGTGTTGAAAGATTAAATTATATGTGGATGATACTATTTTAAGAAAACAAATAGCTGTAAATTTAAATTATCTTAAACTTTTCAAAAGATGTTTTCGGGAGTTCTTCTGGAAAACCTATTTGTCTGAAACGATGCATTCTTTAAGAGTTACGGAAAACTATGATTTTTATCATTGAAAACCAGCAAAGGAAGCCCTGCTGAAACTGTTAAGCATTTATAACCTTATAACTTGGTAACTATCTTATAGCATCAATGGTTACAAATATATTTAGAAATAATTAAAAAATTGTGAATTATAGGAAAGCAATAAAAAATTAGAGAGTCAGGCATGTAAAATATATAGATGTAAGGGGTTTATAAAGGAAAAGGCACAAGCATTTGGAGGAAATTTAATCAGGGATTTCAGACTGTAGGACTACAAGGATATTATGTTGTAAGAAAAAAAAGTACAAATTTATTAATGATACTTTTTTTTTTTAGAAACGACTACAGAAAGAACTGTTGGCTTTGCAAAATGACCCACCTCCTGGAATGACTTTAAATGAAAAGAGTGTTCAAAATTCAATTACACAGTAAGTATTTTAAGTTTTAAAGTACTTATTTTTCTTTTGTTATCAATGTAAGTATGAATATATACTCATTTTTAAAATACAGAATTATATTCTGTATGTCAGAATTATTTTCATATTTCCTCTGATTCTTCCCCACTGAGAAGTAAATACAGTAAACATATCTTATTATTCTGTGCATTTAAATACACAGTTTTGTTTTATAAAAGTTCCTGCTGATGAGGTAGCATGTTAAAAACTTTGGCCTGACTTTGTCAGGGAGTATTCTTCACTTGTGATAGAGTAGTTTGGTATGAGGTTATTTATCAGATTTTTCAAAAACATTTGAGGCTCTGAAGTGAACTTTGGCCACCTGATGCAAAGAGCTGACTCATTTGAAAAGACCCTGATGCTGGGAAAGATTGAGGGCAGGAGGAGAAGGGGACAACAGAGGATGAGATGGTTGGANGAGCTGACTCATTTGAAAAGACCCTGATGCTGGGAAAGATTGAGGGCAGGAGGAGAAGGGGACAACAGAGGATGAGATGGTTGGATGGCATCACCAACTCAATGGACATGGGTTTGGGTGGACTCCAGGAGTTGGTGGTGGACAGGGAGGCCTGGCGTGCTGCGATTCATGGGGTCGCAAAGAGTCCGACACGACTGAATTGAACTGAAGTGAATAAACAGTCAAGAGGCGCACCTCTGTCCTTGTCCCGTGAACATACAACATGGTTGCTTTCTTTATAGCGATGTTAGCTAACTGAATGTCACACCCTCAGCATTTTCATTTGATAGATTAGAGACTTGCATGAGGATGAAAGGTGAAGGGTAGAAGGAGGACACAGAAGTGTCCTCTGATTCAGCTTCTTCCTTGGGAGTGGAGCAGAAGTTTCTTCCCAGATACGTACCAAGAGTAGTAGAGAGATACGGGTTCCTTTAAAATGAGCATTTTTTAAAAAGAGAGCATTCCCTCTCTTAATGAGCATTGAATTAGTTTGAAATGTTTTTGAGAGTATCATCCTAAGATTTCACAACTGATTATTTGGTCTGTCCTTAACACTCCTTTGATTTAGTAGTTCCATTGGAAAAAGGTAAATGTAGTAAGATGGGAGATTTTTAAGTAATTGTCCTTAAAAAAGAAAGAAAAAAAACCCAAAATGTAAAAGGGGTATAAGCCAACAAGATAAAAATTTCCTAAAACCAACTTGTAGAACAAACTGAACAATTCAAATATTTAGTGACACAGAGACCAGAGAGCAGGAGTGACCAAAACTCACACAACAGGGGCATATTTACTTTCAGAAGAAACAATTTTTGGTTACCTTTGACCATAACGTTTAAGTCAGTAATTAAGACAGAAGTCAAACTTTAAGAACAGGAATATTAAGAAAGGATCTTTTTAATGAAATGAATTACAAACCAAATATTAATCTAGTTAAAAGAGATGCATGTAATTAACAGGAAATAAATACTAATTTTTAAACAATATACTTTTTTCTGTTGAGTTCTTTAGTTTCTTTAATCAGGGCAGAAGCTGAAACAAAAGATAGTTATTAGGGGAATCAGAGATAGGTGAAAGAACAAAGTTTTGATATAACTTCTAACCTAGTTTGAAAAAACTACACAAGGAATTCCTTGGCAGTCTGGTAACCAGGACTTGACAACTCTCAACTGCTGGGGCACAGTTTCAGTCCCTGGGCTGGGAACTTAAGATCCCAACGTGGCCAAAGAGAAAAAAAAAATTTAAGTGGGATCATATGGAATGGGGGATATGGGTAAGGAAGATGAAGTAAGCCCATTATGCTTTATGGAAGACAGTTTGGTAGCATGTATTAAGACCTTAAAAAAAAAAAAGACCTTAAAAATATGAGAATCATGTTCTTTGACCTAATATGCTATCCTTTGACCTCTATGCTCTCCTAAGGAAGGAACAGAGATACTGAAAGATCGACTTGGAACTATTGTGGTCTCTCAGTGTAGCTCAGTGAAGTGGCACCCCTTGAATTAACAGTCCATAGTCATCATGTAAGGCAGAAATTTTATACAGTCATAATTGCCTTTGAAAACCCCTTGAGAGAGGCTGTATTGGTATATATCCTATCTTAATATATCCAGCAAAGCTAATTTTTCCTTCATATATTTGTTTTTTTCTGTCTGACTTCACTTAGTATGATAATCTTTAGGTCTTTAGGTCCATCCATATTGCTACAAATATTTCATTCTTTTTTGTGGCTGAATAATATTCCATTGCATACATGTACCACATCTTTATTTTTTTATTTATTTTTTTTTTGGTTGAAGTATAGTTGATATACAGTATTGTGCCAATCTCGCTGTACAGCACAGTGAATCAGTGATACACATATATATATTCTTCTTTTATATTCTTTTCCATTATGACTTATCACAGATATTGAGTATAGTTCCCTGTACTATACTTAGGACCCTGTTGCTTATCCATTCTGAATGTAATAGCTTGCATCTGCCAACCCCAGATTCCCAGTCCATCTCTCCCCACCCCCCACCACATCTGTTCTCTGTCTATGAGTCTGTTTCTGTTTCATAGATAAGTTCATTTGTGCCATATTTTAGATTCCACATATAAGTGATACAATATGGTATCTGTCTTTCTTTTTCTGACTTACTTCACTTAGTATGAAACTGGAAGTGTTAGTCACTCAGTCACTCATCTGACTCTGTGTGATTTCACGAACTGTGGTCTGTCAGGCTTCTCTGTCCATGGAGTTCTCCAGGCAGGAATACTGGAGTGGGTTGCCATTCCCTTCTCCAGGGGACTGTCCCAACCCTGGTATCGAACCTGGGTCTTCTGCATTGGAGCCTGATTCTTTACCATCTAAGCCACTAGGGAAGCCCATGATAATCTCTAGTTGTATCCATGTTGCTGCAGATGGCACTATCTTGTTTTTATTAATGCCTGAGTAGTATTCCATTGTATATGTGGACCACATCTTTATCCATTCAGCTGCTGATGGACATTCAGGTTGTTTCTGTGTTTTGGCTGCTGTGAACAGTGCTGCTATGAGCATACTGGTTCATATATCTTTTTGAATGATAGTTTTGTCCAGGTATATTCTCCAGAGTGAGATTGCTGGATCCTATAGTAATCCTGTTTTTAGTTTCTGCAGAACCTCCATACTGTTTTCCAAACTGGCTTTACCAAATTACATTCCCACCAACAGTTAGGAGGTATGTATACCACATCATCTTTATTCATTTGTCTGTCGATGGGCTTTGAGGTTACTTCCATGTTTTGGATGTTGTAAATAGTGCTGCTATGAACACTGGGATGCATTTATCTTTTTTGAGTTAGAGTTTTAATCTTTTCCAGATACTTGCCTAGGAGCGAGATTGCTGAATCATATGGTAGTTCTTTTTTTAGTTTTTTTAAGGAAACTAAACTTCATACTATTTCCTTAGTGGCTGCACCGATTTACATTCCTACAAATAGTTTAAGAGAATTCCCTTTTCTCCACACCCTCTCCAACATTTCTTACTTGTAAATTTTTTGATGATGGCCCTTCTGACTTGTATGAGGTGACACCTCATTATAATTTTGATTTCCTTTTTTCTAATAATTGGTGATTTGGAGCATCTTTTCATGTTCCTTTTCATCTGTTTGTCTTCCTTGGAGAAGTGTTTATTTAGGTCTTCTGCCTATCTTTTGATTGCTTTCTTGTGGGGAGAAGTTAAGCCCCCCTCCCCCTCAGTCTCATTGTTTGCAAATGTTTTCTCCCAGTCCATAGGTTGTCTTCTCATTTTATTGATGGTTTCCTTTGCTGTGCAAAAGCTTGTAAGTTTGATTAGGAGGAATGACCTGATTTTTATTAAAGAGAGTAGGTTTTTTGTTTTTGTCTTTTTAATGCAGTTTTTGCATTGCATTTTATTTACTGTGTACTGGTTCTGGTGTTAGGAATATACTAAGTTTTTTGCATGTGCAGTATCATTTATCTTTCTAACAAAATTTTAAGGTGACTTTTTTACTAACTTTTAACAATTTTTTAAAATAACTATTTTAGAATTTAAGTACTTAAAACAGAAGAGCATACTCAGGGCCACATAGCTAACTAAGGGACTGTCTAATTTTGCTGTAAAGTATTGCCTCTTGAGTCTGTGGTCATATCTTTTCTTATCATGTAAAGTATTTAGCATGCCTTCTGAGAATGAATAGCCATGCATTTAAGGGATCATCAAAAAAGCAAGAGAGTTCGAGAAAAACATCTATTTCTGCTTTATTGACTGTGCCAAAGCATTCGACTTTGTGGATCACAATAAACTGTGGAACATTCTGAAAGAAATGGGAATACCAGACCACCTGACCTGCCTCTTGAAAAACCTGTATGCAGGTCAGGAAGCAACAGTTAGAACTGGACATGGAACAACAGACTGGTTCCAAATAGGAAAAGGAGTATGTCAAGGCTGTATATTGTCACCCTGCTTATTTAACTTACATGCAGANCAACAGAGGATGAGATGGCTGGATGGCATCACTGACTCAATGGACATGGGTTTGAGTAACCTCTGGGAGTTGGTGATGGACAGGGAGGCCTGGTGTGCTGCGATTCATGGGGTCACAAAGAGTCCAACACGACTGAGTGACTGAACTGAACTGATGGGTTCCAATTTGGTTACTTTCAGACAGTAGGCACACTTACTATTTTATATATTCTTAAGTCCATAATATGTGAGGTGCTCAATAGTAGTCCAGCACTGTATCCTCAACCTTCCTTTTGTTTCCCTGTATTTAATATAATAAATTTTTATACCTGAAAAGTATAGAATTTAAGGAATTGACCAGGTATACAGTAATTACAAGTGGCATGGCTGTAATTAGGGACTCGGATTTTTACTTCTAAAATCTGCCCTGTCATCTGTGTTATAATAAACTGTGTTCCTCTTTTTAATATAATTGGAGATAGTGTCCCATATATAATTATAAACAGATTTATATTCATGATTATTATATATGAAAACAAAGTAAGCTTATATAGATGCCATGGAAATCTATTCTGGGTTTATGAAATGATTGAAACATAATGAGAGACAAAGGAAAGGCCTTTTAGAGCCTTGAGAAGCCATCAGAGTGAGTGGACTGATGTCAGCTTAGCTTCCTTTTTCCTGGTTAGCTGTCTCTGGAATACTCATGAGAAAATTGGTCTGCTGTAGTCATTGTTGCTATCAACTTCTCTCATATTAATAGTTTCTAAAATAATTGATACCAGGAAAGCAGTTGATTAGCTTGATTTTATCTATGAAATGTTTTCCATAATTGTAGAGATGGTCTGAAAAAATAAGGTACCATAAATAGAGTGAGAAGAGTGTAGACTTTGGTGTCAGTACACCTAAGTTGAGTTTTATTTTGTTTTTTTTCTGGACCTAAAACTTGGAGTTAAACCTGGCGTTAAAACTTGGCTCTGTCCTTTTTAGCTGTCTGACCTTGGTCTAGTTATTTAACCCAGGAGTGTCAGAGAAGGGAATAGGGCCAGGAGTGTTATTACCTACTCCTGTCATCGTTGGGAGGATGAAGTGTGTTGTTACACATGGGTGACTCCTGTCCCATTGCCTGGCATAGATGCATATCTGGTGTTCTTTTTCCTCTTCACCCCAGTCCTTTATAACTGAGGTTTAAATTTTTTCTTTTTTCCTATTCTAGGTGGATTGTAGACATGGAAGGTGCACCGGGTACCTTATATGAAGGGGAAAAATTTCAACTTCTATTTAAATTTAGTAGTCGATATCCTTTTGACTCTCCTCAGGTAACTGTTTTGCTTTTTAAAATTTTATTGTATTTTTAGATTATAGACAAATGCTAAATTTGTGATTTTTGACTAAGTAAAAATATAATCATTGCAATTAAGTAGATTTGTTTATTTATCTTATTTGTAATATAATCAAGGTCATATGAACAATTTATTTTATTGAGATTAGGGCTTTGCTGCTTTTGTACTTCTAAAAACTTAAGACTATTTCTGATCCATTCATGTTAAGTAGACCAAAGGGCATGGAAATCTAACCCCTAAGCCCACAGGTTGTGGGAGAACTTAGCATTTTGGAATAGTTGGAGCCATGTCTTTCTAGATAAGATGATGATATTGATAGAATGACATCATTAAGAGGCAAGTGCTATTTTGAAAGGAGCACTTCTTTGATTTCTCATTGCCATGAGAATAGTCTTAAGTTTCTAGATCATTTTAGTGTGAAGCACTATCAGTTTAGTTAATGTCTGAAAACTTGGACAAAGGGTAGTGGTGGTAGATAAAAATTTTTGAGAGCTGTTTATCTGTGGTAAATGATTAATCCTTGGAGGTTAGAGAAAAGGAGAATTCCAGATTTCTGGGTTGGTAAAATGGATAATGAGTTACTAGTAGCTAAATGATAAGACAGTGACTGACTGTGTAGCACTGCTATGTGATCAGGCGTTGTAGATCATGAAATTTCCCAAATAACCTGAAATTCAATGTGTTAGGTGCTAAAATATGCTATTTTTGAGGAAATTCATATTTCATTGGTACTTTTAAGTTGTTGTTCACTTGGTAGGTCTTGTCCTACTTTTTGCAGCCTCATGAATTGCAGCACGCCAGGCTTCCCTGTCCTTCCCTATCTCCCGGAGTTCACTCAAGCTCATGTCCATTGAGTCAGTGATGCCATCAAACTATCTTATCTCTCCTCACCCCCTTCTCCTCCTGCCCTCAATCTTTCACTGCATCAGGGTCTTTTCCAATGAGTTAGCTTTTCGCATCAGGTGGCCAAGTACTGGAGCTTCAGCTTCACCATCAGTCCTTTCAATGAATATTAAGGGTTGGTTTCCTTGAAGATTGACTGATTTGATTTCCTTGCTGTCCAGGGACTCTCAAGAGTCTTCTCTGGCACCACAGTTTGAAAGCATCAGTTCTTCGGCGCTCAGCCTTCTTTATGGTCCAACTTTCACATCTGTACATGACTACTGGAAAGACCGTAGCTTTGACTAAAAGGACTTTTGACGGCAAAGTGATGTCTCTGCTTTTTAACATGCTGTCTAAGTTTGTCATAACTTTTCTTCCAAGGAGCAAGCGTCTTTTGATTTTGTGGCTGCTATCACCATCCGCAGTAATTTTGGAGCCCAAGAAAAGAAAATGTCACTACTTTAAGTAGTGACACAAACAGCTTAATCTTCTCTTAGCCATGTGGGAGTATAGATGAAAGTCAATTTTTATATTGTGCTGTAGTTAAAAAGATAATTGTTTCAAGGCATAGTATTAAATGGAAATTGATTCCGTGAGTTCTGAAGTTTCTATGTGAGCAGAAAAGTAAGATGTTGGGGGCTCATTTTTATCTTTTTCTAAAAAAAAGTGGAGAAGTGTGTCTTGTCTTGACCTCTGGGTTTCGATAATAACCACACATCAACTGTAATCAGAAACCAAATGTATTACTTCTCTTCAGAAAATGATCTTCACTTTCTATTGTTGCCTTCGGCTTATCAGCATCATCTTAACCGTTTTTGCTTGAAGGCAGTGAGGCATCCACCTGTTTTCAGCCTGTTCCTTTACCTCACTTCAGCTAAGTCCCTTGAAGGCCTGTGAAGGAAGAATACGAATCATGGAATCAGAAACTTCGCCTTAGGGAATACTGGAGAAGGTTAACTATGGAAACTCACAAATATTAAAAAAAAAAAATTTCTCTAACTAGGTCTAAGGTATTCTCTAAAACTCCGTTCTTAATTAAATCAAATGTCAAACTTAAGCATCATTTAAATTTCATCTTTAATATTTTTGTGAGAGCCTTTGTCATAAATCCTATCATCTTAGCTTGTATTCCTGTTATCCTCTTCCCTGGTTTCACTCCTGCTTACTGGTCTGATTTTGGTGTCCTCTAGCTTCTTTATTCTTCTCACTCTTCAGTGTCTTTAACCATCTTAAGCCGCTAACTCCCAGATTTCCAACTCTGTGTACACACTCTTACTTCTGAGGTTTAAGTTCATGCCCTTGTTGGGCAGCTCTACTTGAACACCTCCAGACATCCCAAATTTAACGTAGCTGATAAACTCAGTTTTTTTCTGATAACTAAATAAGATAATTCTCTCTTTGGGTTTCTGTTTACCCATCATCTTGTGTTAAATTTCTTTCCTTTCCTTCATTCTTAAGTTTGGTTTTTCAGGTCCTTTCACAGATGTAAGGCAGTCTGATCGCTTCGCTTAAGTTATCATCAGTGCTGCGTGGTCCAAGTTTTTAGTTTTCATTTGGACTATTACAGAGTAGCCTTTAATTCTTCCCACTCCTAGACATCCTTTCACATTGCTGTTGAATTTCTTTGAAGGTGCCATTACCTCATTGGTTTTCCCACATACATCCACCACCACCATCCTCACCCTTCTCAGTAAATTCTGTGATGGTTCTTACTTCCTGTGGAGTCTAGCTTAGCAGTCAAGTCTCTTTATGACCACATCTGAACTGAAGCATTTCAGCGACACATTAACCTCCATGCCTTCTATTGTATACTAGTATTTGCATCATACTTTATTAATGTAACTTTCATTCTGATTTTATCTTGAAACAGCTCAATGAAATAGAAGAAACAGATTTATCCTCATTTAATGTGAGGAAATTGAAGCCTGTAGAAGTGAATTGTCTTGTTTATGGTTTAAAAGCTAGTTATTAGAACAATCAAGAATCAAACCTAAGTTACTCTTCTCCCATTCTGCTGATTATAAGTGTTAATACCAACGTGGAAAATACCTGCTTATTCATTAAGTGGCTCTGTGGTAAAGAATCTACCTTCTAAATGTAGGAGATGCAGGTTCTATCCCTGGGTTGGAAAGATCTCTTGGGAATGGAAATGGCAGCCTACTCCAGTATTCTTGCCTGGGAAATCCCATGGACAGAAGAGCCTGGTGGGCTACACTCCATGGGGTGGCAAAACAGTTGGACACAACTTAGGAACTAATCAGCAACAACAAATTCATTAAGTAATGTTATTTCTGAAAATTAAAGACTACATGTAGAATGATGTGGAAACCCTAGGGCAGTTGTTCCAGTCTTTTGAAATACAAAGATCCCCTCTTAACATCAGTTAATTTTATGGTCCCTCCCATGTGATACAAGTTATATGTTCTGATACCCATGATTGAGAAAATGACAGAGCACTGGAAGTCCAGTAATACTTTTAAATTATTTTAAAGTTATTTTAATCATATTATCTATATGGTTATAAAATAATTATAAAGGGTCCAGTACTCAAAGCTTAATGTACATATAGATTTGAAGACTTTTCTGGTAGCAAAACTTTCCTGAGGTCCATTGCTCTGGACAAGTGGTTGCAAAATTCCCCATTCACTGAAGATTTTATTTGATGAGATGTGGAAGCACAAGTGTTTAGGGAGGCCAGATAAGTAATGGCCATGACCCAAGTGAGAGGTGATGGTGATTTGGACTAGAAGGGTAACCATGGAGGTTTTGAAGGTGGCCATATTTTGAACTTATTTTAAAGATGCTAAAAAATATACTTGCCTTGATTATAAAACTTTAGAAACATTTTAGCAAATAATGTCTTCATCCTTTTGTTTGTGGTCTGATTCTCACTGCTTTGTGAAAACTATTAATATTCATTCCACTGATACATATTAGATGACTAAAAAGGGGAGAATTGAATTGAAAACTATTCTAAAATTCTTGTCCCCAACCACTTTTGTCAGATATTTATTATTTATGCTAGACTGACTATGTCATATATATTATTCATAATTAGATTAGTTTATACAAGTCTACTTGTATGTTCAGTTTTTGTAGTTGCCCTTTAAGTATTCTCATCTACTTGCAATTTTAATCAGAGAAAACATTTCCTCTTATTGTCCCTATAGAAACCTTGGTGTCCCTATTTTAGAGTGGCTTTTATAAATTATAGCCTGTTTTGTATTGCTCATTCTATGTATATTGTATTTTGACCTATCTTCACATACCATATTCAGTGTCTTACTTTCTAATCACTTGCAGAGCATTAGTCTGAATACATTAGTATGCCTGCATTGTGGTGAGATCTCAGTACTGTGAGGTCAGTGAGTATTGAGCTTGATGTTTAAAGTCCTCAGGTATGATAAGTAACATGAATTTCATATTAGAAACAGTTGGCTAATATCCACCCTTTATATTATCACTGTTGGTAGCATTCAGTTTAGATCTTAGTAGTTTTATGAACAAATACTACATTTAGTACCCAAAGGTTACCCAGAGGTTGACTTGCTTAAAATTTTAGGTTGTATGTGGGAAATGCATTCTTACCTCCAAAAGCATAGTTCTTTCTCAGCTCTCATCTGCTCTCGAATTTGAGCCACACTGATAGCGGGGTATTTGGAAATTTAGAGACATTTGAGGGCTGCTTCTTATGCAGACTCAGAATTTCAGATGTGGTTCACATGCATTAGATCTAAGATCCTTTTCTAAATTTTTTTCCATTAAATAGAGTGTTCTTGAAAGTCTGTAATTCCATTTTACTCAGTTTGATTTACATAATGGGGAATATGTGCACTCTGGTTACTGTTTAATCTGAATGACTACTTTGAATCTGAATAAATTGTTTAAAAAATAAGTTAGCAAAACTCTTTTTCCCCTTTGGTTTCAAATTCATTGTATTCAGTTTTCTTGTCACATCTGTGTTAGATAGTTTATCAGCTATTGGCGACTCCCCCCAGCCCCCCCAAAATAGGTTTTGAACTCTGAATAGTTTAAAGACTCTTAAGTTTTCAGAAACTATTTAGGTGCATTAAAAAAGCTTGAAATGTCCATTA